GGATGAGGAAAGCCAGTGGGATGGGAGGAGGTAGGCCCAGCGGCCTTGGTTGGTAACCAACTGGAAAAGGGGAAAACAAGGGTTTAGGGAGACAGCATGAGGGTAGCTCAGAGTCCAGCATCGATTGGATGACTTTTGAGACATCAAAAGATTCACAGGAGTCGGTAGGTACGTACATACAGGAGACAGGAGACGTACATACAGGAGACAGGAGACGTACGCTTCAAGGGGCATGAGGGTAGTTCAGAGTCCAGCATTGATTGGACGATGGCGACAGTGAGGAAGAGAGCTGCGCCCGTTTGTAACAGGGTTACCACATGGCCCACCCTGCTCCACCGCACCCATGCACGGTAACGACGCTGATGACAGGCACGAAGGGGGAATGGAATTAGACAGACCAGGAGAAGACACACTTGTAACAGGGTTACCACATGGGCCATCGTGCTCCTCCTCACCCACGCACAGTAGCGACCCTGAACGCACGAACATGGTAGTGGCACAGGTTGGGTTGGTGGGTGGGGGAGGGAACGATAGAGGGGTAGGGGGAGGGCGGAGGACCCATAAGCACCTGTCGCTCGGACTTGTTGGCGCTGCCAGACAGTGAGGTGGACAGCCTGATCGCTTGCAGCTCGTCTCCATCCGTGTCCGCGTCACTCCCTCAGCCACTCATCCCCCAGGCCACCCCCCTTTCTCCCCTTGACACACATCCCATAAGCACCTGTCGCAGGGCCTTGTTTGTGCTGCCCGACAGTGAGGTGGAGAGCCTAATTGCTTGCAGCTCGTCTCCATCCGTGTCCGCGTCACTTCTCCTGCCTTTGATCCCCCCAGGCCACCCCCACTTTCCCCCACACATTTCATGTTTGAGACGTGTCAAAACCCCACACATGCCATAAGGGCGTGTGTGATTTTGGGGTTTATGTCAAAGTTCGAACTCAAACCGCTTTGCACCTTGGTCAAACATTTCGCAACTGTATCGTACCGTGTTGAACTGTTATAAAAGTTCGAACTTTGGGAAGTTCGAAAAAAAATCACACACGCCCTAAGCACCTGTCGCTCGGACTTGTTCGCGCCGCCAGACAGTGAGGTGGACAGCCTGATCGCTTGCATCTCGTCTCCATCCGAGTCCGCGTCACTCCCCCAGCCTTTGATCCCCGGGTCTCCTCCATTTCCCCCTTGATTACTTTCTCTATCTGCTCCTCCTCCCTCTCTTCCGCCTCCTCTTTCTCCTCCTCCTTCTCTTCCTGCTCTCCCTGATACCCCTCTTCGCCTGCTTTTTTCTCGAGCAGCAGCGACTCGGCTGCTCGCCCCTCTGCCAGGAGCTTCATCCTCCTTATAAGATGATCTCTCGCTTTCGTTAAGAGATGCCAAGTCCTGCGCTGAACCGGCTACGGTTATCGCGTCAGCGGCTGCAGCTTGAGCTGCTGCTGCGCCTATGGCCCAAAACACGCGCAGGAGACAGGTGAATGCGACTGTAATCAAGGAGATTGTAACGGTGCTGGAACATTCATTCTTCTTGCACTGTACACCTGTGGCGAAAGAAGTTCCAGCAACGAGCAGAATGAATGGCAGAAGGATCAGCGAAATCGTGCGAAACCGGCGAAGCCCGCTACAGCAACCGAAGATTCTTCGCCAAGTCCCCATTTCGTTCGCATGAGAAGAAGCCGAGCAGCGAGTTAAGTTAGTCAAGGATCACACAATTAGGAAAAGTTACAAGTCACTTAAAGTCAATTACGAATGTCCTTGTTACGAATATATGCACTTTGAACGCGATCATCTACAGTATCTTCGCGTAAGCATTCGTGCCTTCTTGGACGTCTGAACACTGCTAAACTACAGTCTCAACTTTCTTAGGTGTCTGAGACCGTTGGAGCCGCGCTGGGAGCTGAGCCTCAAAGCAAGCAATGCGGACGAATGGAATAACGCTGCTTGCCAATTTGCCACCTCGAAACTGATCGTTCCTGCTTAGACGACCTGTTGCTGAGCTGTGTGGGTGAAGCTTGAAGCCCGCCGAGTTGAACTCCTTTTGCCCTGATGCTAGGAGGTGTTGTATCTCTGTGATAGAACTCCTGCCCAGCTCTGCTACCCTCCGGATTGCGCTCTCAGAGGGGTTGAATGTGGCTTGGTGCAATACAGAAGCTTTCAGAGCGATTGAGTCAAGCCTTCCAGTCCTCGAATTTGTCCTTGCAACCGAAGCATGCATTTGTTCACATTCGGTCTTTCGTGTGTGTAGGTCTGGTCTGGAGTTGCAGCTGCTATGCTTGGGGGAATCAAATCGAGGTAGGCTTGGAGCAAGGCGTCCCAAGAGCGTGGAACCTCCTTATGAACCAGTGTCCCGTCGGCTCTTTGGTCAGCATTTGTCTCGTCAACGGTTTGCGACAGTTTTCGTCAGGTAACACTCAAAACCCCACATCCCAAGTTGGAAAACACTTGGTCACCCAGAAAAACGGAGTCGCGATGATACACGAAAGCGCCTGCTTCGTCAAACACCGCCCTGCAAATTGGGTTGCAGCACGTCACTCACGACATCACCTGGTTTCATTTCGCATGTTTCTCCTGGCGTCGCCACTTCTTGTCTTATCCGCGAGGTTCAACGAGTGGCGACCAACGAGCATAACCTGTGGAGGTGCGTGCTTCATGCAGTCTTCGTCAGTCAGCTTCGTAGGTCAATTGCGATTTTCGCAACAATGGTTACTGTCGCTGCTGGGCGACCATCGCCTTGTTCAAAAGGATGTTCCACGCTCTAACCACCAACCCTATGTGCGTCACATCTCGAGGGGGGGATGTGACATCGACTGGTCTCTCCCACGAATCGACGATTCAATAACACTGGCAAAGGCTGTGTTCTGACGCTCAACGATTGGTGTCGTGTGCCCCTTTGTTTCAACTTACAAGCCCCCCACCGCAAGGTCAGGGGTGGCGTAGTGAGCGAAGAGTTTCTCGAAAATGTTACGAGCAGAAATCCGTTTTCTGCATCCTAACGAACTTGCAGGCGGAACAGTCACCGTACTAAACCAGACAGATTAGTTTTTTCAACGTACTGTACCGAACGCAACCTCAAGAATTTGGGCCTTCGGACAGCTGGTTACCACACGATGTGACGCGCCCTGAGGCTCCAGGAAGGTTTCCTGGCAAGCTGAGCAGAAGGTTTTGCATTCTGTTATGGGAATGCCAGAAAGGCAATATCCCTTCAGGCAGTCATTGCTTCCTTGTTTTATTCTTGGGAAACCCTTCCCAAATCCTTCGTTTCAGATTTTTCGCATATTTAACCCCAGGTTTACTAAAAAAGTACTGCTTTGGGCCATTTCGCTCACGCGAGGCCCAAAGTATGTTCAAAACTGTTTCCCCATTGTTTTTGCCGATGGTTGTCACAACAAGGGAAGATGGGGGGGGGTGCACACTCAATGCTGTTCTTGTAGATTGTGAGCACAAGCTGGTGCGAATGGGGAGCGCATGGGTGGAGGGTGAGAATGGGGATGCATGTGGTTACTGTTTGCAGCTACTGCTCAAAGCTGTCCCTAAACTGAATTCTCCAAACTTTACACTCATGCATGACCGCGGGAAGGCCTGGTCGGCAGCCAGGCTACAAGTGATGCCTCTCATTCGTGAATCGTTCTGCATCACTCATATCACCCGGAATTTTAACTCGAAGTTTGGCTCTACCGTGGATGGCAAGATTGAGCTGGCTGCACTTGCCTTAACACCGGACGTTTACAGGGGGATGATGGACAAGGTAGAGATAGAGTGTCCGGGAGGGAAGGAGTATTTAAAGAGGGATGGTTTATCTCAAAAGTGGGCTGCATCATCCTTCGGGGCACCACGCTTTGGAAATTACTCCTCTAATCCTGTAGAGTCACACCATGCGACGATGCGTACTGTACGGAGGCAAAATCCTGCTCAGGTTCTACTATCATTTATCCAGAAGGAAGCCACTGCATTGTGTGAGATGGGGAAGACGTATGGACGCTTGAATGATGCCGAGTTCTCCGCAAAAACCGCTGCCATCATTACTGAAAACCGAGAAAAGGGGACGTCGTACAGGGCGGAGCAGACAGGGCCCTTTGACCCATCGAACGGTCACCGCTTTTCGTACAAGGTGACGAGGCGAAGCGGAAACGAGCAAAGGCGGGTGCTCATCGATCTTCGAGAACCCAAGAAATCAACGTGCTCGTGCAACTACACACGGTAAGTGCATAAACCGCTAAACCCATGCATATCTGCGCCACCTGTAATTGTTGGCTTCTACTCGACCACATTAACACATATTATTGTCGTTTTCTCCCTCTCCCTTGCACCATCTTGCAGCGAGTATGGATTGCCTTGTGTCCACCTGTTTGCTGCTTTTAGTCTCCATGGTACCGGTTTTGGTGCCATGGAGGTGGTGGATCGGATTTACACCCCTTCAGCTCTACGGGAAGTCTACTGCAAGGCATCTGAGAGTTTGGACCCAATAGAGTTCGTTCCGGATGGCGAGACAATGGCGCCATCTTACCCAAAGAGGCCTGGGAGGCCACGTGATCAAAGGCTGAGGTCCCATGGTGAAGTAGATGGGAGGAAACTGCGGAAGTGTGGAAAGTGTGGTGAGAAATGGCATAATCGGTTGACTTGTGATTTGCGGGCACAACGCAATGCCATATGGGAGGCAATGAGATCGCCGCAAGGCCATATGAACGTGCAAACAACCACCCATGCAGAAGCATCTGTGAGTCTTTCCCCGTGCAGCGCGTGCGGTAATATGCATCGTAGAGGAGTCTTTTGCGCACCCCTAAGGCAACAACGAGAGCAAGATGGACAAGACCACCAAGATACCAATGGAGAGAGCGACACATTTTCAAATGGTGAGGAGGATAGTGAGGATGAGGATGGGTTTGAGGGGGAGAACACAGAGGGTGACGAGCAGAATGCTTCATTGGAGAACGACGTCGACAACAACTTGAATCAGCCCATGGTGGAGGTATTTGACTTTACATACCCTCACATCCCTCATAGTGGTGTTGATGTCAATGAGGCGATGGCAGGGACATCTGCTGAAAGGAGGGTGGAGGGTGGAGCTGAGGAAGAATATTCTGTTCCTGCAGAGGGAGCCCGAACGAATGGTGAGCCCATGCCTGCAGAAGCAGATGCAAGGGAAAGAGGAGGGAGAAGAGGAAGGGGAGGAGGTGGGGGAAGGGGTGGAAGGGGTGAGACGGGCGAAAGGGGTGAAACGGGAGGAAGGGGTGAAACGGGAGGAAGGGGAGGAAGAGGAGGAAGTGGAGGAAGGGGAGGAAGGGTTGGAAGGGGAGGAAGGGGAGGAAGAGTTGGAAGGGGAGGAAGGGGAGGAAGGGGAGGCAGAGGAAGAGGGGTTACCGCTACATGCGACACAGATGGCTTCACAGGACAAGTTGGGGATGTAGGAGATGGTTCGGAGGAGCAAGGTGCTGTTCCTACTCAGGGAGGGATGGGGGCTGGTTCTGCTCAGGGAGGGATGGGGGCTGGTTCTGCTCAGAAAGGGATGGGGGCTGGTTCTGCTCAGGGAGAGATGGGGGCTGGTTCTGCTCAGGAAGGGATGGGGGCTGGTTCTGCTCAAGGAGGGATGGGGGCTGGTTCTGCTCAGAAAGGGATGGGGGCTGGTTCTGCTTAGGGAGGGATGGGGGCTGGTTCTGCTCAGGGAGGGATGGGGGCTGGTTCTGCTCAGAAAGGGATGGGGGCTGGTTCTGCTCAGGGAGAGATGGGGGCTGGTTCTGCTCAGGAAGCGATGGGGGCTGGTTCTGCTCAGGAAGGGATGGGGGCTGGTCCTGCTCAGGGAGCGATGGGGGCTGGTTCTGCTCAGGGAGGGATGGGGGCTGGTTCTGCTCAGGAAGGGATGGGGGCTGGTTCTGCTCAGGAAGGGATGGGGGCTGGTTCTGCTCAGGGAGGGATGGGGGCTGGTTTTGCTCAGGAAGGGATGGGGGCTGGTTCTGCTCAGGGAGGGATGGGGGCTGGTTCTGCTCAGGAAGGGATGGGGGCTGGTCCTGCTCAGGGAGGGATGGGGGCTGGTTCTGCTCAGAAAGGGATGGGGGTTGGTTCTGCTCAAGGAGGGATGGGGGCTGGTTCTGCTCAGGAAGGGGTGGGGGCTGGCTCTGCTCAGGAAGGGATGGGGGCTGGTTCTGCTCAGGGAGGGATGGGGACTGGTTCTGCTCAGAAAGGGATGGGGGCTGATTCTGCTTAGGGAGGGATGGGGGCTGGTTCTGCTCAGATAGGGATGGGGGCTGGTTCTGCTCAGGGAGGGATGGGGGCTGGTTCTGCTCAGAAAGGGATGGGGGCTAGTTCTGCTCAGGGAGGGATGGGGGCTGGTTCTGCTCAGGGAGGGATGGGGGCTGGTTCTGCTCAGGAAGGGATGGGGGCTGGTTCTGCTCAGAAAGGGATGGGGGCTGGTTCTGCTCAGGAAAGGATGGGGGCTGGTCCTGCTCAGGGAGGGATGGGGGCTGGTTCTGCTCAGAAAGGGATGGGGGTTGGTTCTGCTCAAGGAGGGATGGGGGCTGGTTCTGCTCAGGAAGGGGTGGGGGCTGGTTCTGCTCAGGAAGGGATGGGGGTTGGATCTGCTCAGGGAGGGATGGGGGCTGGTTCTGCTCAGAAAGGGATGGGGGCTGATTCTGCTTAGGGAGGGATGGGGGATGGTTCTGCTCAGAAAGGGATGGGGGCTGGTTTTTCTCAGGGAGGGATGGGGGCTGGTTCTGCTCAGAAAGGGATGGGGGCTGGTTCTGCTCAAGGAGGGATGGGGGCTGGTTCTGCTCAGAAAGGGATGGGGGCTGGTTCTGCTCAGGGAGGGATGGGGGCTGGTTCTGCTCAGGAAGGGATGGGGGCTGGTTCTGCTCAGGAAGGGATGGGGGCTGGTTCTGCTCAGGGAGGGATAGGGGCTGGTTCTGCTCAGGGAGGGATGGGGGCTGGTTCTGCTCAGGAAGGGATGGGGGCTGGTTCTGCTCAGGAAGGGATGGGGGCTGGTTCTGCTCAGAAAGGGATGGGGGCTGGTTCTGCTCAGGGAGAGATGGGGGCTGGTTCTGCTCAGGGAGGGATGGGGGCTGGTTCTGCTCAGGAAAGGATGGGGGCTGGTCCTGCTCAGGGAGGGATGGGGGCTGGTTCTGCTCAGGGAGGGATGGGGGCTGGTTCTGCTCAGGAAGGGATGGGGGCTGGTTCTGCTCAGGAAGGGATGGGGGCTGATTCTGCTCAGGGAGGGATGGGGGCTGGTTCTGCTCAGGGAGGGATGGGGGCTGGTTCTGCTCAGGAAGGGATGGGGGCTGGTTCTGCTCAGGAAGGGATAGGAGCTGGTCCTGCTCAGGGAGGGATGGGGGCTGGTTCTGCTCAGGGAGGGATGGGGGCTGGTTCTGCTCAGGAAGGGATGGGGACTGGTCCTGCTCAGGGAGGGATGGGGGCTGGTTCTGCTCAGGAAGGGATGAGGGTTGGTCCTGCTCAGGGAGGGATGGGGGCTGGTTCTGCTCAGAAAGGGATGGGGGCTGGTTCTGCTCAGGAAGGGATGGGGGCTGGTTCTGCTCAGGGAGGGATGGGGGCTGGTTCTGCTCAGGAAGGGATGGGGGCTGGTCCTGCTCAAGGAGGGATGGGGGCTGGTTCTGCTCAGGGAGGGATGGGGGCTGGTCCGCATAGGCCAGAGGCGCCGCGAGTGTTGCAAAGCGGAGGGAGGCGTGTCAGGGGAGGAGGGGGAGGAAGGGTAGGGATGAATGCACCAAGGCAAAGTGCTGGTAGTACACCAACAATTGCAGGAGTACAGCCGCGGAGTGTGGAGAGAGTGATTGGGGAACGACGGCGGTGGCTGTCACGGATGCGACAGCGATGCCAGGTGGCGCAGCAGGCAGAGGTGGATGGTGCAGTAGAGGAGCAACAAACCTGGCGGCAGGATGTGTCATCTGGGGAAGCGCAGTCAGAGCATCAACCTGTTACAGGGGTGGGCGGACACGGGAGCAGCGCAGATGGCGGGGTACACCAGGAGGAGTTTTTGCAGCGGAAAGAGCAGCAGAGGGTAAGTCGACAGCGTCGCCTTTATTAGAGGAAGCAGCAGCGCTTGAAACGGACACATGAGCAGATGGAAAGGCGCCCACAAGTAGAAGAGACTCAACAACGACGTCGTGCTGGACAAGCTTAACCCCATTGGGAGAATGAGAATGGGGGCCAGCAGGTAAGAATGATGCGGTTGCTCCACCTTTCCCTCTCTGATACACTCATTACCTCTCCTGGCTCCCCTCGTTTCCCCCCCTGCTTCCATTCATTTCCCCCACCGCTTCACAATTTTTTCCTCCGTCGCGTTGGGTCATTACAGCTTGCGCTTGCACCATAACCTTTCTCATATGCCCCGTTCGCCCTCCCTTGCATTTTCTCCCTCTCCCTTGCTACTTAGGTGAATACCCTGAAGAGTTCTCTTGCTTCGACGTGCCTAATTCCATCATCTATTGACATGCTTCCTGAGTAGCTCTCCTTGTCCACCGTTTTATGCAGAGTAAGTGCAGCAGGCAAGCATCAGTGTACCTTTATATATGGCCATTGCAGCTGTCAATCTTTGACAAATTCATCTAACAGTCGGGGATTGTGCAGGAAACTTGTCAGTAAACCTCAGCAACCGAATATATTTATGGAATAACGTATGCTTCTCAAACAATAGAGAGAGTATAGGGTATTTTTCCAGAACGGAATATAGTAGTATACACACGTCAATTCACCGCTACAGCACAAACTAGTAGTCGCATGACACAAATTTTGTGGTGTGGGCAGCGGTGTACAGTTGTTTGGATTTATAGCACAACCGTTTGTTCAGCAGTACCCTACATTCTACAAAATACCAAGAAACTTTCTCCATAACAAGGCTATGTTTGGCCTGCATCTTCAGTTTACTATCATGCGATTGTACAGCCAATAATGCCGTATTCCAGAGTGATTCCGGTACTACGGTATACGATAATACGACATCTTAAAACATACGGTACGTTACCCTTCTCGTTGTCTCTCCGTCGTTTCCAGCATAAGCTCCGATGAGAAACTGAGACATTATTCCGAATGTGTGCGGTGGGAAGAGTAATGACACGCATCAGTATTTGCAACTTGCATATTGGTGGTAGAGGTAGACTTCTTTTGGACCTATAACACTAACATTTGTTCAGTAACCTATATTCTTGAAAGTACCGGTTCCAGGAAACTGCTTCTCTAACATGGCAATGCGTGGCCTGCATCTTCAGGCTACAAAAATGACAAATAATTCCGTATTCAGGATATTTCAAAGCTATATATTCCCCCCTTATCATACGGTACCCTTAGCGTTGTCTCACCATCTTACCGCTCAATTACCGAGATACGGTACCAGTCCATATGTTTGTGGCCAAAAACTGAATGTTGATCCCAAAACAAGTATTGTGTCCTTTTTAGGCTGCATTCAGCAGCAGCATTGCATGTTGTTGGAATAACATATACGGTAGGGATGTATGTTGAGTCCGGGAGCCAGGGATATATCTTAATTATACGGTACAATCTCAATGTACTACATATGCCATACGCGTGCAAACAATGATGTTATTTTTGCAGTGATGGGGTATATCATGGCCTGTAGGTAAACAAATCTACGGTAGTGATAGGCGGAGAGGGGACGTGATAAGAGAACTTGAGGTTAGTTTGGGAAGCAGCGCTGCTGGTAGGAGGGATCGATGGTTGACATGGCAGGCCCCGAGAGTGCACGCAAGTGCGCGTGCGTGCGTGTGTGTCATGCTGGAGGCCTGCAGCACGTCTTGCATGCACACACATCCATGGTGGAGAGGAAGCGAGCGAGCAGCACGGAGCGTGTGGTGCATTCCATCCCAAGGACCTCCATCGCGGTGCACACATACAGATCCCGCAGGGTCCGCAGCAGCAGCATGGAGATGAGCGACCACGGCACAACAATGCACGCCCGAAGCCACCGCCGCCACGTACAGGCAGAAGGGCTGCAGGCAAGTCCAGGACGGGAAGGATAGCAAGGTTATAGCGGGAGTGGGATGATGGTGGATGGAGATGGGAGAGTGGGTGACTGGGAGTATGGTCGGCCCATCTATGTGCATTCACATGGTATCCAGCTGCCATGAAACACAAAACTCGCCCTAAAACCTCATCAAAGTCTCCTCCCTCCATCACACCCCCCCAACCCAAGGTCCTCACTGAAGTTGTTCAGCACGCGGCCAGTGGGGTTGCGGTGGAAGAAGGCGAGCGGCGAGGCGAAGACGGATCCCAAAATATTCGTCACAGTGGGGGTGAGCAGAGCAATGGAGGGAATGCGAGTGGAGAGCACGAGGTAGAAGACAAGGTCGAGGGGGCGGTGGGAGGAGAAGAGCAGGTGGCACGAGGGCACATGGACCAGGACTGTGCTGTTTGATAGAGCTTCCACTGACCCCAACACCACTGCACGCGCACTGCTACTGCTGGCACTGATGCTGCTGCTGGCGCTGATGCTGCTGCTGGCGCCGCCTGGTATGTTCCCCACACCACTGCCACTCACGCTGCTGCTTCCACCTATAGGAAGGCGTGGCATCCCAGTGCCGACCGCACTCAGCCTGATGCTGCCCGCGCTGATCCCACTTGTGATACCCACATCTCATATCCCCACAGCACTTGGTCCACTGCTGCTGCCACTGCCTCTGCTGCCGTCACTGCTCCCCACGTCAACAACCACAGGCGAGCAGCCTCTGCCGTCGGCTGAAACCGCCAACACCCCCACCACTGCCACTGCTATTGCCGTTGGCAGAAATACTGGCAGCAGCGCCATGCAGCCAGGATGCGAGCTGGTCTCCGTATGTGATGCTGAGAGTTGTGAGGCTGACTGGCTGCATGGAGGCTGCGAGCAGCGCCACTGTGAAATTGCGCAGGTCTGGAGAGGAGGAGAAGACGGGTGGAGAGGGAAGGGGCACAAGAGGAAGGGGCGAGAGAGGGGGGGTCAAGCGGAGTGGGGCGGGGCGGGGGGCGTGGCAGAGGAAAAAGGGTGGGAAAAAGGAAAGGTTGAATGGCAGGAGGCGAGCTGGCCTCCATAGGTGGCGGTGAGGCTGACCGGGGTGATGGCAGTGGCGACGAGGGGCACTGTGAAGTTGCGCAGGTATGGGGGAGGAACGGGTGGAGGGTGAGGGGAACAGGGGGAGCAAGGTGCGGGGAGGGGTCCTAGAGGAGGGTGGCGAGGGGAGGGGGATGTGGCAGGGGAATGGGAGGGTAGGGGTAAGGGGGAATGGCAGGGGAATGAGGGTAGGGGTCAGGGGGAATGGCAGGGGAATGGGGGTAGGGGTAAGGGGGAATGGCAGGGGAATCAGGGTAGGGGTAAGGGGGGATGGCAGGGGAATGAGGGTAGGGGTCTGGGGGAATGGCAGGGGAATGAGGGTAGGGGTAAGGAGGAATGGCAGGGTGTCGGAGAAACAGCTCTGCTCGTCATCTGCCTGCATTCAGATTCTCTTCTTCTTCTCTGTTCCTTCTGCTGCCTCAGCCACTCTCTGCCCCCTCCTGTGCCCGTGCTTGAGCAGCTCGAGCGCGGGTCACAGGACCAGTACGCTGAGGCCCGGTCCCTCTGATCACGGCTGTATTCGTCTGATGCTCCCTCAACAGCGCTCCTTTGTCGTTCTCCAAGACCAGCACCACAGACGGGCGCACCTCCTTGACTTTCCAGCGCACTGTCCCCAACCCCACGTCTAGAGTATCCTGCTTCGCTCTCTTCAAATAAACTTCCTGCCCTTCCCAGACGCCCCTCGCCGTTTTTCCTTCGCCCTTGCGTTGTCGCTGTTCGTATCTCCTGGCATCTCGCAGCTGTGCGGTGTGTAGATTCTCCAAGGCGGCTCGCATCATGTAGCGCAGGTAGAGCGCTCTCACCTCTGACAGGGCTACCCAGTTCTTGATCGTGCCCGTTGTCACTGTGTCTGTCAGTACCCGTGGTGCCCCCCACTGGCAGAATGGGCTCTCGTCCAAAGAGCAGGCTATACGGGGAATGATCCTTCAGCGCTGCCTGCTTCCCAAACCTGTACCCCGCTGCGATCCAGTCCAACTCATCATCCCAATCCCTCTTCCTCTGCTCCCCGTAGGCCCACAGTCCTCGCTTGAAGGTCTGCACTGCTCGCTCGGTCAGCCCGTCACTCTGCGGGTGGTAGCGGGAGGTCTTTCGGTGCGTGATGCCAGACTCCTCCAGCAGCTTCTTGAACTCCCCTTGGAACTCCGTTCCCTGGTCTGTGAGCACCTCACTGCATGCTCCAAACCGACACACTACCTGTGCCTTGAAGGCTGCTGCAATATGCCTCGTGCTCTTGCTAGGGATGGCTCTCACCTCCAGCCACTTGCTCACATGTTCCACCATGAACACTATGTACTGATTCCCGCTCCTGCTCAGCGGCAGTTCTCCTGCAAGGTCTAGGGACCATCGGAACCCCAGCCCGCAGATTGGTAGTGAGTGCAGCTCTGCTTTGGCCTGTGTCAAGTTTGCTTTGCTCCTCTGACATGCCTCGCACCCCTCCACCCACTCCTTCACCTGCCTGCGCATCCCTTCCCACCACCAGCCCGTCTTCAGCAGCTGCACGGTCCTCTTGTGCCCGAAGTGTCCCAGCTTAGTGTGCACTTCCTTGATCACTGCTTCACGGTCCTTAGGCGCTGGCACCAGCTTCCAGCCATCCTCCGTCTTGATCAGCAGCTGCTGCTGATACCACCTGTAGTGGTGCCCTCGTGCCCTCACCCTCTCTGATATCGTCTCGTCTTCTTCGGTTTCTCCCTTCACCCATTCCATTGCCTTTGCATCCTGCCAGATGTCAGCTGGCCCCAGATTCCCTTTTGCATCGACCTGCTCCACCTCTCGTGCCAGCAAGATCAAGGTTTGCGCTGGCTCCGGCTCTGTCTCCTCCATCCCCGGTATTATCTGTCCCGTTTCCAGCGGCGGTGGGTTGCGAGAGAGACCATCGACGTGCTGCAGCGTCTTCCCCGGCCTGTGCCTAATCTTAAAATCATATTCCTGCAACTTCACTGCCCACCTCGCGTTCCTCCCTGTCAGCCCTGGTGTGGTCATCAGCCATGTGAGGGGCTGATGATCAGTGACTAGGGTGAATTCTCGGCCCTGCAGGTATACCCGGAAATGCCCGACCGCCCACACTGCCGCCAGCCCCTCCCCGATGTATGAGCTGTACTGGGCTTCCGCTGGGTTGCAGCTCCTGCTGGCGTAGGCCACCACCTTCTCCACTCCCTCCACCTCCTGGCACAGTATTGGCCCCATCCCTTGGCTGCTCCAGTCGGTGTACAAGATGAAGGGCTGGTCTGCTGCTGGCAGCCGCAGTACTGTCGCTGTCTTTACGGCTGTCATGAGGTCTTGCAGCGCTTCTCTCTGCTTCTCTCCCCACTCCCATGCCTTGTCTTCGCGCAGCATCCATTCAGCACCGTCGCTCGCTTACTGAAGTTCGGCACGAAGCGCCTGTAGTAGCTGAGGAAGCCCAAGACCGCACGCAGTCCTGATTTGTCTCGTGGTTCCCTTAGCCTGTCCAGCACTTGCACCTTTGCTTGCTGGATCCCAATCTGCCCCCCTGTGACCTCGTACCCCAGATACTGCACTGTCCGCTCCCCCCACTTGCATTTGTTCGGATGGCAAGTGAGCCCTGCCCCTTCTATGGCCGTTAGTGTCTTCTCCACATCCTCCAGGTGCTGCTGCTCGGTCAAGCTGAAGATCACGACATCATCGATATAGCACGCCGCGTGTTCTATTCCCCGCAGCACCGCGTCCATAACTCTCTTGAACACTGCCGAGGCGTTCCTCAGACCGAAGGGCATATACAGCCACTCGTACAGCCCATCCGGCCCGTGGAAGGCCGTTTTCTTCACGTCCTCCTCTCTGATCTTGATTTGATTGAACCCCTCTCGCAGGTCCAGCGTTGTGAAGAACACCCCGTCAGCCAACTTGTCAAAGAGCTCTTCTGCCATCGGCATGGGGTATCTATCTGGCACTGTGATTTTGTTAAGATCCCTGTAATCCCCGCACATCCTTCTGCTCAGCACCTCGCCTGTCAAGTCCTTTCGGGCTGCCACCACGGTCGGGGTGGCGTACTCGGACTCCGACCTCCTAATCAGTCCGGCTTCCAGCAACTCCTTTATCTTTTCCCTGCAGATCGCCTCATCTCCTGGTGGCATCTTCCTCCTGCGGTGGTACACCGGCTCGTCACTATTCAGCTTCAACGCCATCTCCTTGATCTTGCACTTCCCCAACTCCCGCAGGGTGAAGGCAAAGCCCTTCCTGTGCTTGGCCAGTAGTGCCCGCATTGCTGCCCTCCCTTCTTCGCTCATGCTCTCACCTATCATCCACTCTGGCTCCTGTTTCTGCTGGCAGGTCCACGCCCCTTGCCTAACTGTCGGCACTGTGTTTTCTCCCTCTTTCAGTCCCCAGTGCAGCACTGTCTCTCTCCACATCCGCTGCACCAACCACCTCAGCATGTACCCATCCATTGCATTCCCCATTGCCCGCCTCCGTTCCTGTTCAGTCACGCCAGGTGCTGCGGTCGCGTTCTCCTTGTACCCCATGGCAAGCTCCCTCTCCAAGGCCGTGGGCTCCTCCCACCGTCCCTTCCTGTGGTCGAGCACCAATCCTGGGCCTGGCTGCTTCCCGTCCATCCGATATCCTGCTGCCCCCTCATAAGATACCAGCGTAGGTAGTGCTTGCCTCTCCTGCCCCACCTGGTTGCATGGATAGTGTCTACTGTAGCTCCTCTTATTCACTGGTGCTGGTGTTCTTCCTGGCTCCAGTATGTCGCTCAACTTCCGCCCCCCTGCTCTCTGCACCCCTTCTATCTCCTTCTGCAGTTCTTCCACTGGCACTACATTTTGCTAGTACATCCTGAGCCGGTGCGCGTATGCTCCCATCCGCGACGCGTCACTGCTCAACCCCTTACCCACCTGCTTGGTTACTCTCTCCCTGACCAGTCTCACTGGTTCTCTTACATCCCTTTCCAGGTCCAAGTGCTCTAGCAGGTAAGCCAGTCTGCCCTGCCTTGCCTGCACCCATTCCATGATTCTAAACAGATCCTCCATCAGTTGGGTCCTTGGGTCTTGTTCACCCTTGCCCTTCCCTGCCCATGATACCCCTTGGCATTCCCACCTGGCCACCAACAGGTCCACGTGCCCCCAGCTTGCCACCTCAGCTTCCGTAATGGCCCTTACGTCATGCACTCCTCTGCCCATTGCTGCCTTGATCACCTCTCCCTTCAACAGTTCCGGGAACTCCCTGTGCAACTCCCACGCATGCCGCTCCGCCATTTTTCTCACTTCTGCTGCCTTCTCCACGTAAATCCACTCCTTCACTGCAATCTCATTCCGCACCACTGCTGCCAGTCCCGCCCCTATTCCTCCGAACAGTTCCACTAGCCGGATGGGTTGCTGCCAATCGGTCTGTTGGCTAGGCTCGTCCATGAAGCGCATCCTGGGCTCTCTACCCTGTTCCTTGCTTGTCGTGCTCTCCTGTGCCCCTTGTTTCGCTGTCACCTCCTTCAGATCTGCCCTGTAAGCCCTTTTTGGCTCCACCCTGACAAACTGCACAGGCAGCTGTCCTAGTGGCTCACCCTTCCTCCACCACCTGGTCCTGAACTCCACTGTCTCCTTCCAAAAGCAGATGGTCATGCCCAATGCAAAAATCATTTCTGTGCCCACCAGGACGTCAAAATCTTCAGATTCTGAGATCCCGCACCTGATCCTAACCGGCGTTTCGTGTTTCTCCCCCTTTAGCACCGTCAGTTCTATTGGAGTCCTTGTACATGGCATCCACTTTGATTCTCCTCCCTCTGCCGTCATCACCAGCATCCCCTTCACCACATGCCTGTCCGGTGCCCACAGTCCCAGCTTCTCGGCCATCCCCTTCCCTAGTATCACGCTCTGCGCGCCAGTATCTATAATAGCCGTCTTGGCCTTCTCTCCTTCTACAGACAACGCGCCACCTTGGATCAACAGCACGGAAGTCTGGCAAGCCAGCCTCTCCTGGGGGTGCCGTGCTGCTGTACATCTCTCTTCCTTCTCTTCCGGTTTCTGTCCCCTCTCCCTTTCCTTTCTCACCTGCTCCTTCCGTGCATCCTTTCCTCCACTGCGCAGCCCCATCTCCTCCCTTCCTCTCCATGCCATATAGGCTGGCTGCTCCTCGTGTTCCATCTCGTCCTCTGCTCTTCCTGCCCAGCTCATGAACGCGGCTTCCTCATCCTGCTCTACATCTTCTTCTTTTTCTTCCTTCGCGTACATCCCCGCTTCTGCTTCGCGTCGTGGTCCCATTGCCTGCAACTGGGCTTGTAACCTGCTAATCTGCCTTTCCAGGTCTTCTGGCGTCTTTTTCGCTGCTCCCTCTCATTGGTAACATTCTTTCGCTGCATGCCCTCCCTTCCCACAGATTTCACACTTTGGCGCTGTTGGGCACTCCCGTCGCCAATGCCCTGGTTTGCCACAGGAGTCACAATTCTTGCAGTCTCTGCGTAAGTGTCCCGGCTGCCCGCACCTATGGCACGTCCGAGTGTCAGGCCTGGTCTCCCCTCTTCCTGCAGCCCTGTCCCTCTCTTCCGGTATCATGGCTGCCGCCCACGTAGGCCCCCTGCCTTGTTCTGCTGCTCGAGGCCTGTATGCCTCATACTTCCTCTGTGCCAGTTCCATCTTCTCTGCCATTTCAAACACCTCCTCTAGTGTGGCGTCAGCCCCCATCTCGTACACTTTCATCCGCAGCCCGCTCCCTAAAGTGCCCTCCAGCCCGTCCAGGAACTTGCTCACGAGCAGGCCCATGTCTGCGCAACTCACATCCTCCGCCAGGTTGACCAGCCGGTTGTAGTAGGTGAGTAGTGACTCGCCCCGCCCCTTCCTGAAATCTTGGAACTCCCTAATCTTCTCTGCAGTATGGCCTGGGAACTGCCGCTTCAGCCGCCTCAGGAATTCTTCCGTTGGGTCCTCCCCATACATACCTGCCCTCTCCAGTAGCTCATCCACCTTCATCCTATACAGTGTCTCTGCCTCCCCTTCCAGCGTGTTTGGCAGACTCAGAAAGAAGTCTACTGCGTCCATGCCGCTCCTCTCACATCTGTACCGCACATTGCCCACTTGCATCAGATAATTCTTCAGTGTGGGCCCCAGACGCTGGTCCCCTGAGAAGCGTGCTGGCACTTCCACTCTCGTGACCATCGCCGTGTTTCCCCTTCCTTCTCCCCAGGCCTCACTCGGCCCGCCTGCTGATCTGCCAGATGCTCCCCTCTCTCTCGCCCGCAGTATCCCCTCCCTTGCCTCTCTAGCTTGCTCCAGGCTGTGCATCAGCCCGCTGCCTCCCACTCTGCTACCGCGTTGATCCTGTCCTCCTTCACCGGCACGTCTTTCGTCACGCTGCCGATACCGCCCAGGCGAGCGAGACCCAGCGCCCTGCCTTCCATCCCTGCTCCGCTGCCGCGACGGCGAGCGGTATCTGCCTCCCTGGCTTTCCTCGTGTCGCTGACGCCAATCTGGCGAGCGCGCCTCACCTCCCCACCTCCCTCCATGGTACCGTTGCGTGTCAGGCGAGCGATAGCCACCTTTGCGTCTCCCATCACGATAGTGATGCGGATCTGGTGAGCGCGAGCCCCCCTTGCTCCTCCCGCCGTGATACCTCTGCGGATCTGGCGAGTGCGCACTGCCTCCGCGTTCTCCGTCACGGCGCTATCGCGGATCTGGCGAGCGGTAACTGCTTCCGCGCCTCTCCTCATGCAGCGGCCGCGGATCAGGCGAGCGGTAGCCGCCTTCGCGCCTCTCGTCACGCTGCGGCCGCGGATCTGGCGAGCGCGCGCCGCCAGCGTGCCCCCCATCGCGATGCTGTCGCTGGCCTGATGCGAGCGCGCCATCGCCGCGCCCCACGTCACGGTGCTGCCGCAGATCGGGCACGCGCCCCTCGCCTCCGCGTTTCTCGTCACGGTGCTGACGCGGATTCGGTGAGCGCGGGCCACTGCTACGCCTCCCGCCGTCGTTCTTCTCTTCGCCACGCGGCTGGTTCCACGCACCATTCGTCCCGTCCGGTTTCGCCGCCGCGCCCGCCTGCGTCGAATCGGCCTCCTTGACTCCAGCGGGCATTTCGCGCTGCTCGCCTGCGCCTTCTTCCTGGGCTTCGTCATCGCCCTTCGCCTCGCCTTCGCGATTCGTTTCCTGCGCCTTATTCGCCGTGTCGGCCTCGTCCTCTCCGTCAACATCGAGGTCTCCCTGCCGACCAGAGAAAAATTCCTCCAGGCCACGCCCGCGACTCCGATCTTCGCGACGGCGGTAACCCTCTTCCGGCGAGCGATACGCTCCCATGTCCTGGCGATGCCCATGATCGCCACCAGCTCCGTGTCGTGCATCCGTCCGCCACGGGTCACTTCCCATCCCGACGGACTCGAATCCGCCTCTTCCTTCTCGCTCTGCACCTTCTCCTCGGCGATCTGGCGCAAGAGGGACCAGATCTGCGCGAAAGGCCAGCCTCCGCGGCGAGCGCTCAGGCCTCCGCGGTGACCTCTCCAACGACCGCCCGCGCTCACGTGAGCGTTCTCGCCGTGAGCGATCATCCTCACGGCGACCGTAGTTCCTGCCATAACGCAGTTTGTACACATCCATGCTTGCATACGCACCTTTCCGGTTGCTATAAAAGTTATGTAACTCTCACCTCAAAGGTCCTCCCTGGGTGGTGTGCCACCTGTCTGCACAGCTGAGGCAACAATAGTCCACTATACGAAAGGATAGCAACCGAAAAGCATCAGGGCTGTGTGAGCGAGTGACTTTACCTGGCCTGGGCTCGAACCGTGCATTTCTCAATGTGCAGCTCGAGCCTGGGTTGGTTCAATCACATTGGTCGCGTGGATTTCACCCTTGGTGCTCTCCTACCAACCTCGCGTCAACTTCTCTGGTTCCCCAACTACCTACCTTCGAATATTCATACACATCATTACTACACCAGAACCACACCAGCACCTCAATCTAACTGGCACCTTATATGCACAACCGTGCATATTCGGTGACAAGGGGAATGAGGGTAGGGGTCAGGGGGTATGGCAGGGGAATGAGGGTAGGGGTAAGGGGGAATGGCAAGGGAATGAGGGTAGGGGTCAGGGGGAATGGCAGGGGAATGGGGGTTGGGGTAAGGGGGAATGGCAGGGGAATGAGGGTAGGGGTAAGGGGGAATGGCTGGGGAATGAGGGTAGGGGTAAGGGGGAATGGCAGGGGAATGAGGGTAGGGGTCAGGGGGAATGGCAGGGGAATGAGGGTAGGGGTAAGGGGGAATGACAGGGGAATGAGGGTAGGGGTCAGGAGGAATGGCAGGGGAATGGGGGTTGGGGTAAGGGGGAATGGCAGGGGAATGAGGGTAGGGGTAAGGGGGAATGGCAGGGGAATGGGGGTAGGGGTAAGGGGGAATGGCAGGGGAATGAGGGTAGGGGTAAGGGGGAATGGCAGGGGAATGAGGGTAGGGGTCAGGGGGAATGGCAGGGGAATGAGGGTAGGGGGAATGGCGGGGGAATGAGGGTAGGGGTAAGGGGGAATGGCAGGGGAATGAGGGTAGGGGTCAGGGGGAATGGCAGGGGAATGAGGGTAGGGGTCAGGGGGAATGGCAGGGGAATGAGGGTAGGGGTAAGGGGGAATGGCAGGGGAATGAGGGTAGGGGTAAGGGGGAATGGCAGGGGAATGGGGGTAGGGGTAAGGGGGAATGGCAGGGGAATGAGGGTTGGGGTAAGGGGGAATGGCAGGGGAATGTGGGTAGGGGTAAGGGGGAATGGATGGGGAATGGGGGTAGGGGTAAGGGGGAATGGCAGGGGAATGAGGGTAGGGGTAAGGGGGAATGGCAGTGGAATGAGGGTAGGGGTCAGGGGGAATGGCAGGGGAATGGGGGTAGGGGTAAGGGGGAATGGCAGGGGAATGAGGGTAGGGGTCAGGGGGAATGGCAGGGGAATGAGGGTAGGGGTAAGGGGGAATGGCAGGGGAATGAGGGTAGGGGTAAGGGGGAATGGCAGGGGAATGGGGGTAGGGGTAAGGGGGAATGGCAGGGGAATGAGGGTTGGGGTAAGGGGGAATGGCAGGGGAATGTGGGTAGGGGTAAGGGGGAATGGCAGGGGAATGGGAGGGGAGGGAGGTTAACCAAGAAAGATGATAGTTGCCAGCGGATGGTGACAGTTGAGAGGTGTGTCGTGAGAGACGTGCAAGGCTTACCATATCGGATGCGAATGACGGTGTTGTTGCCCTGCTGCACGAACGGGGGGGAGGCACGAGGGAGGGATGTGGGGAGTGCAGGGAGGGGGGAGAGGCACGAGGGAGGGATGTGGGGAGTGCAGGGAGGGGGGGTATGGGGGCTCGCGGGATAGGGTGGGGAGGGATGGAGGGGTGGGAGGAAATGAAACCGCCATAAGGGTTTTCTTGAGAATTCTTTAAAAAGCCATAAGGAGGCACAGGCCCAGGGAGGGGCAGAGGGGAGCTACACGAGCCACACTGTAACGTGAGGCACAGCAATGTGACTTTACCAAGCAGTGGTGGGTATGAGTGCGTGAGACTATACCGAGCAGTGGTGGGTGTGATTGCGTGTGACTTTACCGAGTGGTGGGTGTGAGTGTGTGTGACTATACCCAGCAGTAGTGGGTGGGTGTGAGTGTGTGTGACTATACCCAGCAGTAGTGGGTGGGTGTGGATGTGAGAGTGTGGCTATACTATACCGAGCAGTAGCGTGCGTTGCAGCGGAAGGCGGGGCAGGGGCGGTTGAAGAGGATGGTGTCGTGAGAGCCGTTGCTCTGCTGGGTGATCCTCGTGTAGGTCATAGTGGGAATCATGGGCGCCACGGCCACTGCACACATGTGGGGGAGGAAGGGGGGGAGCGGGGGGAGAAGGGTTGAGGTCATGCTGGGCATGACAGGCACCGCTGCCAGTGGGTGTCGTGAGAGCCGTTGCTCTGCTGGGTGATCCTCGTGTAGGTCATGCTGGGTCTCGTGGGCGCTGCTGCCACTGCACGCATGGGGGGAAAAGGCGCCGAGCGCATTGGCGCGAGGCGCAGGGCATTGCGCCAGGATTGCAAATGGAAACCCTAATTTAGGATCTCACTGAGTTCGCTAAGGGATTGACAATCGTGAGTGAGTGGGAAGGGTGAGGCAGGTGGGGATGAAGGCCTGGGATAGACTGGGGCGCGTTTACATTCGCATTCAGATTGGGGAGGGCTCCACAACAGTTCCAGCACAGTATGATTGCCAGCAAGGCGAATCTACAGCAATGCCAGCCCTCAATCTCGAGCCCACCAGAAGAGGCAGTGTGCGGGCAGAAAAGGCCAGAAACGGTTTGTTCAGAGTGGAAGTGCGTCAGATAGTATAGCAAGAGGACACGTGGCGCAAACTTCGCCCCGCAGGACCAGTTTTGAACATACTTTGGGCCTTGCGTGAGCGAAATTCCAGAAAGTAGTACTTTTTGAGTAAACCTGGGGTTAAATATGCGAAAAAACTGAAACTAAGGATCTGGGATATAGTTTCCCTTAATTCTTACGAGACCAGTGATCGGTCACGTCTCGACTTCGTATGTCGACTGCAGATTGCTGCAGCCACGTCAGGCTAGGTGCTATAACTAGAAACCCTGAGATTTGTTGCTAAAACACATCACTCTAAACAATAGTGTAAATCCACTCTCTTTTAGGTTACAAGCAGCGCTTGTTTCCGCGCTTCTCTCTTCTCTCTCCGTCTCGTACCTCACCATGCCGTACGTGCCTCCTCATAGGCGATCCGGCGCGGCAAGTTCCACTAAGGGTTCTGCTTCTACCGAATCTTCTTCTATGCCGCCGTCTGTGCTAGGTCGAGGACATATAGGCTCGGCAATTGGCTCGGGAAACAGGTTCGGGGGACGAGGCAGAGGCAAAGGCGGCGGCCAGACAAGTAATGGGGGACGAGGCAGAAGTTTTTTGTACCGAACAAAACCGTTGGATTCTTCCAAAGTCGTCACCCACATCCTGGTCGACGATTTCGAGCAGCGCAAGTCCTCTATAACGGGGCTTGCTTATAACGAGGATTGTGCTTTAACGGGGGGAGCGATCGCTGTAACCGAGCGGGGTACATATTTCACCAATTTATGGGGGTAGGCAACCACGGGGAACGAAATCTTGCTACACTAAGAATAGCCTCAGAAACAGAAGCAGGTCATGACAAAAACTTGTCGCTATCCGCTGCTGATTCCTCCTCATCACGCTCTCTCTCCGGCGACTCGCGCTCTCCCTCTCCATATTCCTCACTCTCACCCTTTCCCTCCTTATCCGGCTCCATAATGGGTCTACTCCGTGTAGCTTTAGAGGCCGCTCATAGGGATATGCGCGTCGACAGGGAGCCTCTGATTGGCCAACCCCGAGTTGTGGATCGATGCAAGCTGACGGTGAAACTGGGGAGGATTCAGTTTAAACCACCTCGGGAATCCCCAGGGTAGGTGGGTGGGGGGTGCGAAGAGAGTGCGTCTGAGATAAGCCTGAGGGTTGTGGATCGGTGCAAGCTGACGGTTCAACTGGGAAGACATCGCCCGAATCCCTCCGCGAAAACCCGTTCGCCCCTGCGGGTTTTCCTCTGAGGGATTTTCGTTTTCCCGCAGTCGCCTAGCGGGGCACGCGAGGGGCGGGAGCCACCCCCCCCTCCCGCCCGAAAACGGGCAACCCCAGCTGGCGATGACGCCAGCAGCCCGCGCCCTCGAGCTGGCACTGGTCCCCCTCCCAACCCCTCGCTCGGTTCGTGGACGGGTTCCGTCCGGTAACCCACCCATCCCTCGCCGAGCGACGCATCGCCGACGGAACCAGTCCGCGAAATTTCGCCGGCCAGACGAAAGCGACGCCCATCTGCGCTGCGCTCCACCGCTCTTGCCCTAGACGGGCCCGTTTCGTTCTCGATCTTGGCGACGTGTCGAAGGCCCCCTCCCAAACCTTGGAAGGGGCCTTTCAGCTGCATGCAAGGCTGCCCACCCCATGCTACCAATAACCAGGTTTCACGTCGAGGCCGATAGGGCCCCGCCGGCCTCCGCGAAGAGCTCTTCCCTCCTCCTCCCGCGTCTTGGAACGCGCCCTACCACCTCGCCCTTGAACCCCCTGGTCCGTCGCGGTGGGAGGGATGGCAAACAGCTAATACCATGCGTCCGGTCTCATTTTGTTGCTGTTTCTGATTTTTGCTTCCCTACTTCCTAGTCCCTGCTAGTTCCCAACTCCCCTGCGCGCCCGCCCTCTCCACTGCTAGGCTCGACATGGCTACGGGACCCGCCTCCGTGTCAGATCATTATAGCTTTGTCAGAATATTATCTTATGTTCTAGCCTGTAGTGGGGTGCTCTATAGCGAGTACAAACCTTCTAGGGTTTGCTATTTGTATCCTCATTCTTACTAGTTCAATGCTCCTTCTTTCTTCAAATTTTGTCATGCTTATGCTTTTGTGTCGGCTATAGTGCGGTATCCCATAGGGGGTACAACCCAATTAGGGTTAGTACTTGTACCCACTTCAATCATAGTCCAACAAAATTTTCTCGTTCTCATTCTCACATGGAATCAGAGCAGGTCCCCTCCTAGGGACTGTTTCTTGGGCCCACCGAAGCGCGCCCCGAGGCGCGCGTTTTTTTTTTAGCGACCCGTAGTGTCGCCCTCCCCCCCCTCCCAGCGGCCAGTCGCGTCGCCTTTCGGTCGCGACCCCGGCGCCCTACTCTAGCGGCCCCGCCGCCCTACGTCGCGGCCCCGCCGCCCTACCCTTCGACGGCGCCGCCGCCCTAAGTCGCGGCCCCGCCGCCCTACTTCGACGGCCCCGCCGCCCTACGTCGCGGCCCTGCCGCCCTACCCTACGTCGCGGCCCCGCCGCCCTACCCTTCGACGGCGGCGCCGCCCTACGTCGCGGCCCCGCCGCCCTACTTCGACGGCCCCGCCGCCCTACTTCGACAGCCCCGCCGCCCTACGTCGCGGCCCTGCCGCCCTACCCTACGTCGCGGCCCCGCCGCCCTACCCTTCGACGGCGGCGCCGCCCTACGTCGCGGCCCCGCCGCCCTACTTCGACGGCCCCGCCGCCCTACGTCGCGGCCTCGCCGCCCTACTTCGACGGCCCCGCCGCCCTACCCTACGTCGCGGCCCCGCCGCCCTACCCTTTGACGGCGCCGCCGCCCTACGTAGCGGCCCCGCCGCCCTACCCTTCGACGACGCCGCCGCCCTACGTAGCGGCCCCGCCGCCCTACCCTTCGACGGCCCCGCCGTCCTACGTTGCGGCCCCGCCGCCCTACTTTGACGGCCCCGCCGCCCTACCCTACTTCGCGGCCCCGCCGCCCTACGTTGCGGCCCCGCCGTCCTACCCTACATCGACGGCCCCGCCGCCCTACTCAGCGGCCCACCAGCCGCCCTACCTGCGGCCCACCCGCCGCCTGACCGCCGGGTCGCCCAGCCGCTGAGCCGCCGAGCCGCCCAGCAGCCGACCGCCGAGCCGCCGAGCAGCCGAGCAGCCGAGCCGCAGAGCAGCCGAGCCGCCCCGCAGCCGAGCCGCCGAGCAGCCGGGCCGCCCTGCAGCCGAGCCGCCCAGCAGCCGAGCAGCCGAGCCGCCGAGCAGCCGAGCCACCCCGCAGCCGAGCCGCCGGCCGCTGAGCTGCCCTACTTCCATACGGCCCGTTCTACCCAGCCTGGTGAGCACAGAGCCTTCTTTTTTTCACTGCGCTGCCCTCACCCTACTGCCTGCATTGCTAGGCGTCTGTCATCATGGCTACCCCCAGTGTCCTCGCTTTTGACGCTGAGGGTCGGGCCATTGACTTTGAGGTCTGGGTAGATGACCTCCAGCTGTTATTACAGTGCGATAGGGCAGACGACCTCTCTCTCTTTGACCTTACCTCTGGCGCTTCCCCTGCCCCTGCTGCTGATGCTGACCCTACTGTTCGCTCCCAGTGGGCTACGCGCGATGCTGCTGCACGTCTTGCTGTGCGTTGCCACCTCCCTACCTCTGAGCGAGCGCACTTAAGTCAGTACAAGAGTGCTCAGACCTTGTACGACGCTGTAGTTGCGCGCTACTCCTCCCCTGCCACTGCTGCACTGAGCCGCCTCATGCTACCCTACCTCTTCCCTGACCTTGCCGCCTTTCCCACAGTCGCTGATCTCATTACGCATCTCCGCACTAGTGACACCCGCTACCGCGCTGCGCTTCCTGCTGGCTTCTGCGCCAAGAACCCCCCCCCCCCCATGTACATCACTCTCTACTTTCTAGTCATCCGCCTCCCCGACTCCCTTCGTGTAGTCCGGGACCACTTCCTCGCGGTCTGTCCCACCACTCTCACAGTCGACAGCCTAGAGAAGGCCCTCCTACCGGCGGAGAAGAGCATCGTCGCTGTAGGAGCCTCTCGAGGTGACCCCCGCGCCCCCATCTTTGAGGGGTGTTCTCCTTCCCCTCTCTTGCCCTCTGTCGCCTCTGCCGCTGCGGCCGACCTCGTTGGTCTTGAGTCGGTCGGTGCGGCGTCTGCCCCTAGCGGGAGACGTCGCACTGGCAAAGGCAAGTGGGGCAAGGGAGCGGGTGGGGCTAGCGGGGGCGGTGGCGGTGGAGGTGGAGGCGGCGGAGGGAGTGGGGGTGGCGGTGGAGGAGGTGGCGGGGGTGGGGGTGCTAGTGGCAGCAGTGGTGGCGGAGGCGGCGTCGGCGGCGGGGGTACCGGCGGGGGTGGCGGCGGTGGCGGAGGTGGAGGAGGTGGAGGAGGAGGTGGTGGAGGTGGTCGGAGTGGCACTTCACAGCGGAGCGGCACTGGGGGTGGTCAGCGCCAGCAGCAGCAGCAGCAGCAGCGTTCTCGCGACGTCCCCACCCCTCAGCAGCTTTGTGAGTGGTACACGCAGCGTCAGCGTGGTGGGGGACTTGGTCCCTACGCCTACATCCTTCGCACCGGCGACCGCGCGGGTGAGCAGTGTGGGGGTGCCCACCCCACCCAGCGCTGTTTTGGCCGCCTGACGGACGCTTGGCGTCAGCAGTTTCCGGAGGCCACGGAGATCCCCCGCTGGGGAGAGCTGTCTAGGGCTGGCGTGGCTATCTTTGATCTTGACTTTGATGCTATCCTTGCTGCCATGTATGCTGTGACTATTAGTGATGAGGGTGACTGTTACCGGTGTTTCCCGCCCGACCCGGGCATTGGTACTGCTGCGCTAGGTGCTTGTGAGGCTACTACTCTAGGTGCCAGTGCGTCTGTGCTCTCAGGTGCTAGTGAGGCTGCGCTCTCAGGTACTAGTGAGGCTGCGCTCTCAGGTACTGCGTCGGCTTCGGCCTCTCTCACCTTCACACTTGACTCAGGGGCTTCTCGCTCCTTCTTTCGAGACCGCACCACACTCACGCCGCTTGGTCGGCCGGTTGCAGTCTCCCTAGCTGACCCCTCTAGGGGTCCTGTCCTCGCTCACTTCTCCACTGTCCTCCCGTGTCCGGCTGCCCCCTCGGGCACCCTGTCGGGTCCGTACCTCCCCTCGTTCTCGACGAACTTGGTGAGTGGTGCTGACCTGCAGGATGCGGGGGTTCACCAGTTTACTCCTGCGAGTCAGCGAGGGACCCACTGCTCGGACGCCCGCACAGGCCGACACCTAGCCACGTTTTCGCGTCGGCCCGGGTCGAGTCTCTACACCCTGACCATTGAGTCTCCTCCAGTCCCTGCGTCTGGCCAGGTAGCTGCGTCGGGTCAGGTGTTTGCTGCTGCGTCCAGGTCTGGTCCTGAGTCTGCCCCCTGCTCGTGTCGCCTCCTGTCTCACGAGACTCTCTTGTGGCACCACCGTCTTGGCCACCCCTCCTTACCTCGTCTTCGGGGCATGGCTTCCCGTGTCCTTGTCTCTGGTCTCCCCCGGTCTCTCCCTCCCCTTCCTTCGGGGCCAGGACCTTCCTGTGTCTCCTGTGTCGAGGGGCGGCTCCGGCTGCCCCTCACTCCTCCCAGTTTCCCCCGACAGAGGCTCCTCTGCAAACGCTTCACATGGACGTGTGGGGCCCGGCCCGCGTCCGGGGACAGGGTCACGAGCGCTACTTCCTGCTGGTGGTTGACGACTACTCGCGTTACACCACAGTCTTCCCCTTGCGCAGCAAGGGTGATGTCACTGAGGTGTTGATCGACTGGATCCGCGCGGCTCGTCTCCAGCTCAGGAGGAGCTTCGGCTCGGACTTTCCTGTTCTGCGTCTGCACTCTGACCGAGGCGGAGAGTTCTCCTCTGGCCTTCTGCGAGCCTACTGCCGTGCACGAGGCATCCGCCAGACTTTCACGCTTCCGGACTCTCCACAGCAAAATGGGATTGCTGAGCGCCGCATTGGCATGGTCATGGATGTTGCTCGTACGTCCATGATGCATGCGGCTGCCCCCCATTTTCTGTGGCCGTTTGCGGTTCGGTACGCGGCGCATCAGCTCAGCCTTCACCCCAGGGTCTCCCGGCCGGAGACCTCCCCAGCTCTGCTGTGGACGGGGAAGGTCGGCGATGCGTCTGCGTTCCGTGTCTGGGGATCTCGGGCGTTTGTCCGCGACCTGTCTGCGGACAAGCTGCCCCCTCGTGCTGCTCCCTGTGTCTTCCTAGGCTTCCCCCCTGACGCCCCAGGGTGGCAGTTCTACCACCCCTCCTCTCGTCGTGTTCTGTCCTCCCAGGACGTCACGTTCGACGAGTTCGTCCCCTTCTACCGCCTCTTCCCCTACCGCACTCCTTCCCTCCCGCCGCCGCCGCACTTCCTTAGGGTAGACCCCCGGTAGACCCCCTTCCCCCTCAGGGTCCTGCCACTTCAGGTGTGTCCCAAGTCGATGCAGTCGAGCCGGTCGAGGTTGCTCGTGACTCAGGTACTGCTGGGGGTGCTGCGCTTGGGGGTGCTGAGCCTGGGGGTGCTGACTCTGGGGGTGCTGAGTCTGGGGGTGCTGAGCCTGGGGGTGCGGAGCCTGGGGGTGCTGCCTCTGGGGGTGCTGAGCCTGGGGGTGCTAACTCTGAGAGTGCTGCGCGCGTGGGTGCTGAGCCTGGGGGTGCTAAGCCTGGGGGTGCTGCGTCTGGAGCTGCTGAGCCTGGAGGTGTGGAGCCTGCGGCCACTAGACCTCCCCTTGTGGCGTCTGGCGGTACTGGGCCTGGAGGTTCTCCGGGTGTTTCGTCTCGGCGGGAGCCACTCTCTCCACAGGAGCTGCGTGAGTGGTTTGCTCGCCGCTGGAGGCGTACTGCTGGAGCTGGCGCTTCTTCGGCCACTGAGGGTGCTGGTGCCGCCGGTCCCGGAGCTGCTGGGCCTGCGGGTCTGCCTGGAGCTGGAGCTGCTGCGGGTGTTGGTTCTGAGACTACTCCTGTCCGTCCTGGTGGTGGTCGTGCTGCGGGTGCTGCTGGTGCTGCTGGAGGTCCTGCCGCTGGAGGTGCTGTTGGCGCTGGTGCTGCCGGAGGTGCTGAGGGTGCTGGTGCTGTCCCTGCTGTGTCTGGTGCCGCTGCGCGGCCTCGGCCGTACTTCGTTCCGCTCCTGCAGCAGGTTCTTGGTCTTCCTCCTCTCTTAGAGGGTCCACCGCCTGTCCAGTCGCAGTCACAGCTACCGCCGGCCTCCCCACTGCCTTCTCCCTCTCCCTACACTGGTCCTACTGGAGGTCTTGCTGAGCGTCGTGAGCGTGCGTCTCGTCCCGTGTCGCCTGTTCGTGCTGCTCGCACTAGTGGTCGCAGTTTGCGTCCGCGTCCTCCTCCTGTCCCTGGCACGCACCGGATGTCTCTGCGTCCGTCCACTGCTCCTCTGCATGCCCCTTTGCCCTCTCCTCCTGAGTCCTCTCTTCCTGCGCTTGCCGACCCTGAGTCGGACTCTCTTCGTGCTGCCAGTCCTACTGTCACGCGTCTCCTTGCTACTGTCGTCACTGACCCCTCCTTTGAGTCCACTGCTGCGTCTGCTCTTGTTGGCAAGCTCGTCGACTTAGCTGCTCGGTGTCGTCTAGACTACGCTGCTAGTCTTGTCGCTGAGTCTGAGTCTGTCTGTCCTCCGTCCGTCGGGGGTGAGTGTGCCCTTGGCACGGACGTTCTTGAGGACAGGCAGGAGGAGTTCCAGTGTCTTGCTCACCTCTTGACCTTGCTTGTACTCTTGCATATATATATACCTGCTCTTGCTTGTTTAGACTTATATATATGTGTCTCCTCCTGCTTGTGAACTGGCCTTGTGGCCTTGACCTTGTGCTCAGACTGTGTGGTGACGTTGTGATCCACCCTGAGCTTGCTTTGCTTCGCTTTGCTTGACTGGTCTTGTGACCCCTTGTTCTCCCCCACTTTGCCTATGGGGGTGTGTCAGATCATTATAGCTTATGCTTTTGTGTAGGCTATAGTGGGGTATCCCATAGGGGGTACAACCCTATTAGGGTTAGTACTTGTACCCACTTCATTCATAGTCCAACAAAATTTTCTCGTTCTCATTCTCACATTCCGTACCCGTCATGAATGAGGCGACGGTTCGACGCGGCCTCATCCTTAGTGCAGGCGGGGTCGAGGTGGAGGTGTACGAGGACCAGCTGGATGCGATTAGAGAGGCGCCGAAAGGGGAGCTCGACGAGAGCATGATGGTCGCGGGCGTCGTGTACGTGTCCTGTCGAACATTTTCGGTTTGCCATGTTTCGGTTTACCTATCGCTGACGTTGACTTAGCTTTCCGTGCAGCCTGTTCTGTCATGAGCTGCTCTCCGTCGAGCAGCTCCCCAAGGTGTCGATCATGACTCCGGCGCGTGCGCGTGAAGAGATGGCCCGTCCCACCCCGGTCGCTTTTGCGAACAACCACCTCGACGGCCTCCTCGGCAAGCAAGTGGTTTTCGTTCTGCTGCGGACACCGTGAGTTCGACACTCTCCCGTCGCCTTGCGTGCTCCGTCTTTAGCCCTGAACCCGTTCTCACGTGCATTGGCTGTGCATGCAGACTGAGTGTGCCTTCGTTCTCCCACTCGAGCCTGTTTGTGGTATCGCGCCTCGATGATCTGCTGGCTCCGAGGCACCGTGGCAGTCGAACTTGAATGATGCACTTCGATTCGAAAGACAAGTTTCCCGATATGAACCACCAATCTTCTCTGGCGCAAGAAGTTTTCGTGTGAGTGACAGCTTTGCAACCCTGCTGTTGAGCTGCTGTTCTTGACAATCTTACTCGTCTGTCCGCTGCGTCGCAGGTGGATGAAGAAGCAGCTTCGCGCCGAGTACGCGATGACCCACCAGGCTCTGACCGAGGACGACCAAGAAGTGTTGAACGTGATGGACCTTCGTCTAGAGTTGAACGAGGATTTCGACCATCTGGTAAGCTCTCCTTAGACCACCAGCGTTTTCGTCGAGCATGTGTTTTGTCGCTTACGTATGTTTTGTACCCGTCGCAGACGACGACGGCCTTGTCAAGCCCCTTTGAAAACGGCGCGGCAGCTCGTGTCGTGCATGGGGTGCGCCGGATTTTGTCGAAATGGGACGAATTCATCCTACAGCCTCGAAAGGGCGAACTCGTGCCTCTAGGGAGAACGAACCCTGGCCCGGGTGTGCTTCTGTTGTTCATGGTCAAGCTGTTTTCGAGAAAGATCGACCAGCTGGCGGAGGGAGCAGGTGTGGGAGGGGGTGCCGACCACGAGGGAGGAGGCGAGAAGACGGGACGCGTCGTGATTGAGTACAGCGTCGAGGAGGAGGAGGAGATCGAGGAGGATACATCGAGGCAGGCTCAGCACGGGGCGAGCAGCCCGGGCAGCGATGCGAACGAGGACGAGGACTCGAGCTCGGGATCGAGCTCCGGCTCGAGCTCGAGCGATGAGTCGGTCGAGGACGACGGCGAGGGCGCCGGACATAGAACGGAGCGTACGGGGGAGCACGGAGTGGCGCTCGAGGAGCGGGTGGACGAGCGAGTAGAGCTTATCGAGCAGCACGCGACAGGGGAAACAAAGGCTGTCGAGGAGCAGGAGGGCGGAGCGGCTGCGCAGGAGGGTGGGGTCGGAGGGCAGCAGCAGGTGGTGGGCGAGGCGGCTGCGCAGGAGGGCGGGGCAGGAGGGCAGCAGCAGGAGGGCGTGGCGGCTGCGCAGGAGGGTGGGGCAGGAGTGCAGCAGCAGGAGTTCAGGGTTGCGGCTGCGCGGGTGGGTGGGCTGGGAGGGCAGGAGCAGGAGGACGGGGAGGCTGCTGAGGAGTATCATCGAGGAGATGAGCGACAGGCCACCGTAACAAGGAGTCACCGCACGGCCAGTGGCAGCAGACAGGCGGGCCCTTCGACCGGGTGGCCTTCAACGGCAGGCCAATCGACGGCGAACGTTGCACCCGGAGGCCAGGTCGTTGAGCTACTGCAGAGGGTCGAGAAGGTCGAGGCGTCGTAGAAGCAGCTCATCGCCGATGTATTTGCGAAACACACTGAGCAAGCCGGAGTATTCAACAGGCTTGCTGCGGATTTTCGGACGGCGTGGAATACGATTTCGGAGTTGTCGAAGAGCACACTGTCGCAGTGCGCCGAGGCTGTGAAGGGTGTCACGGCGGAGAGGAACCTGTTGGAAGGGGCGCGGGCGAAGATCGACAAGATGAGCGGGAAGATCATCGAGGGGGTGGCAGCCGCCATCACAAAAGCGAGCGAGGACGCCGTTGAGAAGCAGCTCAAGCAGGTCGAGGAGCGGCTGGTTGCTGCTGTGCTGAAGGGTTTCGAGAAAGCCATCATGGAGGACATGTTTTGCTCCACCCTCCCACCCGAGACCATGAAGGAGCTGAAGGACATTGTGAGGGAAGGCTACCATGAAGCCGAAGCAGGGAGGTTGGAAGTCCTCACCGAAGCGATGGCGAGAGGTTTTCAGTGCTCGGCGGGCCCGTCAACGAGGTCGCGTCAGGAGGGTGTGGGAGGGGTTCGCAGCGGGGCTGAGCCTCGAGGTCACGAGCGGTCGGTTCCTCCGTCTTCTTCGGTGGGAGGACATGTCGGCAGCCCGGTTGGATCCCCACCGGCGCGTGGCCGTCATCCCGTCGCCAAGACCGTCCCCGAAGTCATCGTACTCGACCAGTCAGCCCTCCCGAAGACCTCCGTAGCGGCTCCGATCGATCCACCTGATGCGTTTGCTTCGATGCGGGACATGCTGCAAGGCCTGGGGAAAACGGGTGGGAAAGGAGTGGTCGCGGGGGAGAAAATTGGTGCCCCGAACGAGCACGTCGCCTCGACCGGGAACAGAGCCCTAGGAATGCGAGGTGCCTCTACCCCGTCAGGCGGCGGTGCGGGGAAAGGAGCGGGAGAAGCAAGCGCTGGGTTGCTGTCGAAGACTAAAGCGGCATCAGCTGCGCACGGCGGTGGTGCTGGCCTTGCTGTCGGGCTTGTGGGAAATTGGGCGTCTTCCTCAACCCCTCCAGTTGCTCCTGTCGCCGCTGCTCCGTCCCTAGGCAACGTTTGCCTTAGCGATCCGGGCTCCCCTTCAACGTCGAAGAAGAGGCCGGCTGCGACGAAGTCGTCGAAGCGCGCTGCACACGCGACAGAGAGCCTTGACGTGGTGGAGCTGGCCAGCGTCCCTGGTCAGGCGCCTGTCGAGAAGACCTCTATTGTCGTTGCTGCTCGACAGGAAAAGGCGAAGAAGGCCAGGGTCACGGGTCACCCCCCACCTCCTCGACCGGACGACCAAGGCAAGACGAGAGGCTGCAAACGTCCCTTCAAAGGACCGGGTTTCGGGTTGTGGAAGGGGAAGCTGGTTTCCGAGCAGACCGTCGGCGGGAGGAAGCGGTTCCTTGGCACTTTTGAAACAGAGAAGGACCAGAAGTTCTGTACGGCCGTCTGCTGGCGCGTGTACTTCCCCGACGTTGTCCTTACGGAGTACGAAGGGTACACGGCGCAGGATGAGGAGGACTGGAAGGTCTACCTCGATGCGGCCGCAAAAATGCCAACCGGCGTTTGGAGCGTGGCGCAAGAACAAGGGGAATGTCGTTTTGACAAGTAAGTCCTGTCGAAGTCATGTTGCTAGACTCTGCTGTCGAATTCCTGCAGTTTTGGTGATTTGTCGAACACTTGCTGTTTTGCGGTGAATGTGCTGTCGGTCGAATTCTGGCCTCTTGACTAACGCATTTCTTGCGATGTGCAGTTACCTGTCGCTATTGGCGACGGCAAAAAAGGAAGTGAAAGCTGGAACCGAGAGGGGAATCGCGCTGTGCGTGGCGATTGGTAAGGTCGCGACGCTTGGCCTGAAGCACGGGAATCTGATTTACCCGGTCCTGAAGGGCATGGCGGCGACACCGCACATGATGGCCATCGCAGCAACTGTGGCGACCTTGTGGGCGGCCTGCAGGAAGTTGTCGAGGGAGGATATTAAGAAGGATGCCCTAGCTGCCGCGAACGCGGCGATCTACGCCCCGGAGACTGCAAAGAAGGCTTGTGTGGCTGCCATGTCCGCACTCGTGTCCATGCTTTTGCACGTCGGCAAGACGTTCCCGGCGAAGCAGTGGCCCGATCACCTGTATTCGTCGGCTGTCGAAGGTCTCGGATCGACGGACGCCATATTGCTGCAGATGCTGCGCGTGGCAGCACAGGTCTGTACGCAATGGTGCTGCTGTCGAGCTGCTGCCCGCTTGCTGGAGGACGCGGGCTATGGCAGCCTGGCTATGCCAGAAGAAAAGAGCAAGGCAAAGTAGGGCGTCGAGGATGCAGCTGAGACGGAAACGAGCGGGCAAGGGGAGTAGTCTAGGCGGGCACTTTGCGTGGGGGTGTTTGCTATTCTCGAAAGTTGTGTTTGTTGTTTCCAAAGTTTAATCGACAGCATGTACATGTTGCATGGATCTTGACTTTCCGTTTGCAATAATGCTCAGATGGTTCATACAGGCGAGATGGTCGGTCAGTAATGAGAACCTGCCATGCAATCTCTGAAAGAACACCCTACTCTAGTTTCCCCCCTTGTCACAATTGCCTGTCAAACTTGGGCTCTTGCCCAATGTTTTCATGAACTCTTTCCATCTATCTTTGAACACGTTCTCGGCCCATTTCGTGGTTCAAAGCTCGACGCGAATGAGCTCCCGCGTGATCCTGAGGCGATCTTTGTCCTTCCGGTTGTCTTCTGCTGTCTCGACTTTGCGCTTCTTCGTGAGCTGCTTCCCCGAATCCTCTTTGAGAACGAGCCCTTCAGCCAGCATGTTGATCGGGTAGTTCGTGACTATTGAGTCAAGCTTATCAATGATCGTCGACGTAGCCGCGCTGCTGTCGTCGACCCTGAATATCTCGACGGCCCTCATGACAACCTCCATCTTCCGCAATTTCGACTCGACAGCTTTTGGGGCCGGTGGCTTTTCTTTTGGCTGGTCCACCGCAACGGGGGGAACGGTGGGAGGAGTCGGAGTGAACTTGCTGAACTTGACGGCGAAACCCCTCCTGTAAGCGTGTCGAAGACTGTGTCCGTTGTTCAGCGGGCTTGGCCCGTCCCAGTACGACCACGCCTGCCGCACGGTCTCGCATTTGCACCACGACCACACCACTGCGTCGAAGAATGCTTGGTCGAGCTGGCTGCCCTTGCTCTGTTGAGTGGGCGTTGATTGAGGGGGTTGCTGTGGTGGCGGGGTGGTTTCTTCGGTCGCCGTGTGCGGCACACTCTCGCTCCCCCCCACACTCGCAGCTGCGGTTGTCGCGGCGGTAATCTTCAGTGCGTCGAACGCTTTCTGCAATAGCGCGAGTGCTTCTGCCTTCGCCTCCAACTCCGCTTGCATCGCGCCCTTCTCGCGCTCTTATGACTCGACCTTCTGCTCGAGGCCCTTGATCTTGATTTCTTTTTTCCCACCCTCCTCCTTGTGTAAGTTGACCTCTGCCCGAAGTTGCGTGATGAGGTGCTTGGTGTTGAGTTGAAAGGATGCGTCCTGCGCACAAGATCACGAGCGGTAGGTAAGTGGGCTGATGCAATCTGTTCGGATAAAGAATTAGAAGGGCCATCTTACCGAAGCTCTCGACAGCGTGGGGTTGGTCCGCATCTGGATGCCATAATTGTCGAGCAGGTACACGTCAAGCGCCCATTTTTGGAAATCCATGTCCTTGCACAAACCGGACATCTGTACATAAGGGTGACGCTCGCAGTCGCAAACAGTCACTCCGTCGAAGGGGTGGTCGTCACAATGGACGTAGTACATCGCAAGATCCTCGGCGATGGGCATTCGGGCGGCTTGCAGGGCCTTCAAGATACTTTTCGCTGCGAAGAACATATGCTCCTTGTCCTGCTCGTTGTTCCATTCCATCGCCTGAACAAGAACAAACGTGGTGAGATTGAGAGATAGACGGGCAAAACTTGCATTCGATGATCACGCTAAGCGCTCGACGCATCCATACCTCGTCGAGCCACTGCTCCGCCTTTGGAAATATGTGCTCCTCGATAGCCTTCAGGACCTTCGCGGGTACTTCGCTCTTCGATCTTCCAAGGTAATAGTCACCCGCTTCCATCGTGAAACCCGCTTGCAGCTGGATGGCCCCGCGCGGGATGCCTGTGACGTATGACCTGCGCATCTCGTTCATGTCCCATTGACCCAGCTGCGCGATGTTGTCGAGTTCACAGTTTTTGTCGGCGAGGATCTGTGCCGCAGACCGTCGAAAGATATGTGTGACTTTCGACAGGATCCACTCCGCGCTTTTCATCGCCCAGGTAACCCATTTGGCATGAGTCGCGTACCGCAACTCGGTCTTGTCTTTGTCGAAGAGGGCGAAGAACAGGTGCTTCTTTGACCAATTTTCCGGGTTGCTGAAATCCAAGGGGGGCACTATCTTATCGTTGTTGTAGTGGAGCGGCACAAGGTCGAAAATGAAATGCATCCACATGAACACTGCTCCGAAGCCGCACTGCCGGAAGTCCATGTGTCGAGTCAGGTACAGGTGGCCGAGCTTGTTGTCTTTGATGGTCTTCGAGTTGCGATAGGCGACCACGAGAACGTGGATAGACGATTCCCCCTTGCTGTTCGTAATGGGCGAAAGGACGTGAGTGAACATATTGCAGTAGCGGATCTCGCAGATGCTTATCCCCCTGCCCAGCATGTGATGCGCCATCAGGATCATCACCCTCACGGCCAAGACCCTCCACAGCGAATGACTGGGGTAACTCATCGACACCCGAAAGTACTCCTTGGCCCAGTACGGCAGGATGTCTGAAACGAGAATGCGGAACTGCTCCTCCGTGTAAACATCGTCGAGCGAGCCCCGGTGTGGATCGACGCACTGCCTGCATTGAGTGGGCAGATACAGCGAGTACTTGGGTGAGAATTTGAGTGAAAAGTTTTAGAGTCCGGTGTATGGCAGCCTACTTACTCGAACTGAAAGTCGTGCAGCTGCCGCAGCTTGACCGCAAGAAGCTCCCGGGCCTCGGTGATGTCGTCCAAGGGTTTCGTTAGTGGCTTGTCGAAGAGTATGGCCTCTACTCTGCAGAAGCACGTCAGCGCAGTAAGGCGCGCCAGCATCATCGGAGGGGTGCTTTTTTTTGCCTTCCTTCCAGCGACTCTGGTCCGGCCTGTATCCAACGAAGCCGCCTGTTGGTTGGTTTCAGTCGACATGTATTCGACGTACGCGCGCAAGCGCCACTTCGTTATTCTCGTCCCATGGAGGTGCTCCTCGTTACGCAGCGCCTCCCTTCATCTCGGCCCCATATCGTCGCCAATCTCCCTACCGATCTCGTCCTCGTAGATCACTTGCTCCTCTTTAGGCACCCCGTTGCTTCTCTCAGAGTGCCAGAATTTTACAGGCCCAAGCTTTGTAGTGCATGCTTCCAGAGACATAGTTCGGCCGTGTGGAATCCTGGTCAACTCCCAGCAGCGGAACCTCACACCGGAGAATCCTGCTTTTAAGTGTTCCGGTCACCAAGTACGAATTGTCTGCACCCGGTTGGTCGCCGAGAATCTGCGCGGCATCCTCCTCTGATATATTTGCCGCAGCAGGCCGCAGAGGGTCCGGCGGTTCGACATCGTCCGCCTCCTGTTGTTCTCCCGTCCGAACATCGTCATCGTCCGTCGCTTCATGGACGTTCCTGGCTAAGTCCTCTCTGCTTGGTCTCGTCGAAGTGCGCCTAGGAGCGGCGGGGGCGGCTCGAGAAGCGGATGTGCCGGCAGGGGGTGGTTGGCGAACCTCAGGCGGAACAGCCCTCGCTCTCCTACGTCGCCCACCTGTCGAGGTCGGTGCACCAGCTGAAGGTTCCGTCGAGCGGTGGGCTGTCGACGATGGTGCACGGTGAGCTGGAGCCTGGTGTGTAAAGGGGGCGTTTGTTGTCGAGATGGGTTCTATGACAACAGGTATGGATTGACCTGTCGAAGGGAATTCGGTCTGTGCACCACCCACTTCAACAGTGACCGGAATACCCGTCGAACGCTGGTCCGTAACAACCGGCTGTATTACTACCGGTATGGCTCGCGACGTCGAGGTGGGCGCTACCACCTCCGGTATGGCACGCGTCGTCGAAGGGGGCGCGGAAGAAACCGGCCTGGCTCCAGACGACGAAGGGGGTGGTGTCGAGATTGACTCCAATTCGACAGGTATCCGTCCTACGTCCGCCTGCCGGGAAGGCGCTGTCGTCGACGGATCGGTCTCCATCAGTGCCCACCGAAAGCTACCATTTCTCCCTAAATCCTGGCCTGCTGAGAAAATTGTGGTGCTTCTACTATGAATTCAGGTTTATACAGTGACCTTGGGCTGATGTTGCTCCCCGTGGAGACTGAGACATTTGACATGGCAGTCAGCAGTTGACGTGAACGTTTGACTGCGACAGACGTAACCCGTCGCCCATCCGACAGCGACAGTTCGCTCGACCGACGAGGCGACAGGCCGGCCGCAGTTGACGTCTCCGTCGATTGCGACCGTCGGTATTTCGCAACCGTCGACCGTCAGCGCCACCGTGTAGGCGATTCCCTGGCGACATGCCACCGGGTGTAACTAGTGTTGTCGGGGGTGCACGGTGCTCGACGGCGATTGGCCAATGTCCGTCGAGCACTGTTC